CACGACAATGAATTGCCGGCCCCTTGCCCTCGTGCACCTACTCGCACAAACTCACGCACCACCTGCCGACGACGCTGCTGGGAACAAGAAGATCGGGGCATTGTTCTCGTGGCCTTATATAGACCCTTCGGCGCTCCCTGCCGCCCCCATTGCCTCCACCCTTCCGCCGCTTTACCACGCCGCGTCGACGGAAAGTCCCAGTGTGTCATCACTCAGCCCTTAAACATCCGGCGATGCCCGCCGTCTGCTACGTGCTTGTCTCCGTGTTTTAGCGCGACACGACGCTACAATATCCTGATTATTTTTCTTTATTTTTGCCTGAACTATTACTTTTCTTAAAATTATTCTGTATTCTCGGAAGCAGACATGGAAACCGAGTGATACGTTATGATGATTAGAAGTAAAGTAAAGCGTACGTTTGTTTTTACACGATGTTCTAATTCCTTGTGTGATCCAAATATTATTTTTCCATGAAATTTTTAATTTTCTCTTTTTAAGAGGAAAGCATGCGTTAAAGTGAAATGAAAGCTTTGAGAAAAACATATTTCAGCAGCGTTATGAACCGTGACACATGATTCCTTCAGCACGTAGTCCGTAAATAATTTTATGTTTACTCTGTACTTGCGTGTATTATTTGTGACAGTGTTCATATTATTAATAATTATAAGATTTTGTTCATCGTGGTCACTTTAACCCAGATTAGTCGTTTTTATTTCATATCTATTGCTGTAATAATAATTTGTTCTCTTGCTTTTTGTGATTTAAATTTGATTAAAAACCTCAAGTGAATATGGAGAGAACCAAACTGTGAATAATGCTTCAAAATGAAAGCACATTTATCTTATTGCATTTGACTTCTCACAGTTACGTTCTTAAGTGTGCAAATACCGATTTTCAAATGAATGTGACTAATAACTTATTCTTATTAAACTTAACACCTTATTCGTATAAACTTACAAAAACGTCGCCTTTTACTGTTTATATACATTCGCCTACAAAATGATTAAGAGAGAAATTGTAAAAGTAAAAGTTAATACAAATTAGACTGATTGGTAAAGTTTTAAACTTTTCAAAAATTAGGAGAAGTGGAAAAGAAATCGGGGAAGAATCAAATGTAGTAGTTTATTTTGGGACAGATTTTTCGGTACTGATTGAAAATGATATTATTAGAGAATAACGCTGAAGAACAGCTTACGCATGATATTATACGTGCACTTTTGTGTGTATTAGCAAAAAAGCGTACAAAATGGGAGCTGTTCTAACTATGCGCACCATTCATACCTGCCATACCCTAAATTGAATTTAATAGTCGAAAAGCATAATTTATTGTAATGTACCATTTTGTTTAGAATTGCAAGAAGCATGTGTATATTATGATTAAATAAATTATTTCCATTACCATTTTCCTAGCGTTTTAAATATTTCGAATGCCGAAAAATAGATGCTTCCCACGAAACGTTTCGCGAGTCCGCGATGAGGTAAAAATCATGTGTTTTCTAACATTACTTGTAATCTATGGAAGCGTAGTCAGACAACGGAAAACTTTAGACTTGTTGATTTAAAACGATTTTCTTTAACGGATCTTTTTTTGTCAATGTTGTGAAACGTACGGATTAAAAAAGCACCAAATGACTAACTTATCTGTGATTTGGCAGTTCTAGTGTGAACTTACAGTGTGTTAGAGACCAAAAAGTGCGCGTTTACAATTTTTGAAAAAGTGAGAAAGTGAACAAATACGGATGACGTGTAGTAAAACTCTTTATTATATTATACATTGCAACTATGTGTTTCCATTATAATGTAAGATATTGGAACTAATGCATACTATTTGTTTATCGCCAAGTGTACACTGAGAAAAAAGCGAACCTGTTTTCTCCACTGAACATTTTCTGTTATATTCTATGTTAATAGAGTAATTTCACTTTTCTGTTATTATAGATGCGAATCTATTGTTTTAATCATAATGTCGGTACCATTATCAAAAAAGTTCCATTTTTTTGGGGCAAATGAACAATTTTTAGCACAAATGAATAATAAATACTCACAGAACTGTTGCAGCCATTTTCGAAGTATATGCGACTTAATACGGTAAAATTTTTTTTATTTGTTTAAATACAGCTCAGTAATCAAAAAATCTGAAAGGTTACACCTTTTTGTGTTTTAAGAAACATTTTTGGTATTTTTTTCAAGTCTGTTCCAGAGTTCTAAAACAGTAACAATTATTTTTTTTACTTCTTTTTCAAAAAAGAAAAACATGGCGTTTTAATTTGACACTGAGAGAATATCAATTTTTTTCTGATAGTATAAAATTTAATATTTTTTCAATAAGATAAAATAGTGTTAATTTGACGAAAAAATTAGATTTAAAAAACACGTTTCTGGCTGGAGAAGGGTAGGAAGAGAGCTAAGAAATCTTTCAAAAATATTATGTTTACATTATAATTACTTATAAGTAATTTTGTTTAGGGGAACTTTTAACCATCTTACGCGGGGGGACCCTTTGCCCCCCAATAAAAGATCCGAAATACCGCTTCTGCTTACAATAAAGACTAGAAGTGTTAAAGACCCGTCACAATCACCAGAAACGCCCGCGTAAAAATGGTAACATTCAAGGAAACCAATGTATCATATTCTATGTAACTATATTCTTTTTCATACTATTTCCACCAACTTTTCACAGATCTTCGAATGAAAGGTTGATTTATAGTATTTTAAGTTATTAATAGTTATTTATGCTCCAAGTGCGTTTTAAGGGTTCTAACGACCGAGCGGTGCCAATCGTCGGTTAACTTAGCAAAGAAAGTTCCTCCACTCCGTGAAAATTACGAATTTTTGGGACGGTGTTTATGAACATTCTGGATTTTGTCAGAACGATTATTAAAGTTTAATGTAGGTAATAACTCTCTCAATGATAATAATTAATACAATTTTCTGAAATAAATATTTAAAAAACCGACAGTTTCTAAAAAGATACGGAAGGTTTCACTTCTACTGGAAGTGATACAGACCCGAAATTTGTTGGCAATTTCCATACCCGATGAAAGGGCGCGTGGATCCAAATGATTCATTCATTTAATTTTATTATAAATAAGCAGCTTAGCATCATCGCTAAGGTCATGATAATATTTACTTCGAAATATTTTCAAAATGAATAGGTAGTCATGATGTAGGGACCTAGAATGTCTGATAGAATAGTGCTTCATTAAATTAAATTTGTGAACGTGATGCGCAGCCAGAACCTAAATAACCAGAAGAAAGGAAATATCATTGCAAATAATGTTAATAATTGTTGTTCTAGGACACTGAATTAGTACTAGAAAGGAATTAACTTTCACGTTCTTGAATAAATGGCGGCATTACACAGTCACTTGTTTCGTCTAGTGCGCAGCTGACAGCACAGCTGTTTCGCCTTGCTTATCATAGGTTGTTAAAGTTGATCTTCACTCTTATTATTTTTGTTCTTCATTCAGCGGGCGATTAATAAGTGTCAAGTGTGATCTCTGCCGAGATGCATTTGAAGAGTAATAGGTGGGTTACGTGAGACTATTTTGTGAGACGTAGAATTGTTTTTTTGGCATTTGATTTGCAACTTGTGATCATTTTAAATTTTACAATGTCTCAAAAGTCGCAAGTGATACAGCTATACAAAACAGTAAGTGCGTTATCATTCTATACGTTTTTATTTAATGAACTTCGCGAAACAAATATTTCATTTTCCTAGCTCCTTCACCTTGGACGTGAGTATCCACAAGGCTACGACTATTTTCGAACTCGGCTCAAGAGAGTCTTCATGAAAAATCGTGAGACAACGGATCCCAAGAAAATAGAAACAATGATTATGCATGGTCAGTATGTGGTAAAAGAACTGGAGGCGTTGTACATGTTAAAGAAATATCGCACCTTGAAAAGGAGGTATTATGGAGATCAATCTTAGAAAGAGGTTGGAGCAATTAATCATTTTATGTAGTTCATTTTAAGTACTTTTATGAAGAATATTTTTTTAAAAGGAGTGTACTAGTTGTCCTGTTCTACAGATAACCATTATTGATAGTAAAATACAGGTAAAACATCGATTGCTAAATGAGAAAATTCCAAGATATCTTTTGTAGATCAGTTCATGTGAATATTTGTTATATTTGTAAATTTGTTGATTAAAATGTAAATTTAAACAGAAGTGTTTTATTTAATGTACTCTAGTACCTGCATTCTGATATGCGATATTCACTTATTATAAATGTAAAATAAGCCAGTAATGTGTTAGGCAAAGACTGTGCATATACATTTTAGTTTAAACATATTACTCTTGTAAACTCTTGTAATGAGCTTTGTTTTTCATTGTATTGCACAAGTGGTAATGGTAATTTTAGTGTTTCTCAAGACTGAATGTTCTTAAATTGATATGTCAACTAGTTTACAAATTCTGATTATGATCTTTGGATTTTAGAAATATATTTTTATATCATTATTTTAAACATTTTATGCCATTTTTTTAAGACATTTTAAGGTCAAAGTTCTTGTAAGTCATGATTTCATTATTGTCATTAATTTATTTTTCCTTTTCTTACTTTCATAACAATTTTTCTCTTTGAGAAGAATTTTGTGCCTTTTTAATTAGGATTATCTTTTATTTATTAACTTTGCTAATTATTACATAAACAATACATCGTACACCATTTGTCATTAAATTATAGCATTTGTAAATGATTTCTCCATCATACAACCAATTGTGTAGGCAATCTAGTGATGAATAATATCTTAAAATAATTTTCAAATATGATACTATTTAAAGGTGTGGTCTGCATGTAAATTTAGTAGAATCAAAACTTAATTAGCCAAGTTCTTTTGTATGGTGAGGAAAAGGTACTTCACAACACACATTTAATGTAATACCATTGAAATCCAGTAGGTTTTCTCCCTGTACCTTCAGAATAGAAGAAGCAGAGTGTGCGAGTCTTCTGGAAGAAAATTGTTACACTTGTAGCTCTGAAACAGTATGTATTTAAAAGTGTTTTGGATAATGGTGTTGTAGCTCATATTTAAGGCACAGATTAACAAAATTCTGTTTCTTGGTTGGGCTGCAATAATATATAAACAGGATGTATAATCCGTCAGTGTGGCAACACCTTTCTCCACATCTTTTGATGTAAAGGCCATTTATTAAAACAATTACATTTCGATAGCAACTAGATGCCTAATTTTGTAAAGGGAATGTCCTTAATTTGATAAAATTATGTCCTGGAATCATGTACAGCCAAGCACATTAGAGAGTATGCTGGGGTTATATCATTCTTAGTAGAAATGTAAATGTGTAGAAATCATAATGAATTAATAACATTTTTCAAACTTCATAATGTTTGAAAAGAATGTAGAAACAATATTGGATTTTTATGAAAAATTATATTTTGTATATTCAAGGTAATAGTCATTACAACTTGATTTTACTGCTAAGAAAATAATTTCATATCACAGATTATGCCCATTGGTAGCAAATTCAGAAAAACCTTAAAACTATTAATATTTCTCCTTGACTAGCCATGTTGTGAAGGGTGATTTTCAACGGGCAATATTGTTATATTTGATATAATTATGTCAGAAAATATATTTGGATTGGTATATTGTAGACTTACATTCGTTCACACCACATGAATAGGTAGATCGTATTTTGCATATCAATAAAGGTAGAAAGATAATTGATATTAGCATAACTAAAAAAATATTTGTGCCATTTAAATACACATAATTCTATAAATGAAACCAGTTCTTACATATATGTATTGAACAGTTCATGCAGCATTAAAAAAAGTCATTACAAATGATGAAAGGTACCGTAAAAGCATGAGGCAGTGGACTATTCAGTTATTTGTACGATCTCTTACTTTCTTGGTATTGGTTTCTTTATTAATTTCGAATACATTTCATAGCATTTATTTTCACTAGAGTAGGCATATGATGGTGCCGCTGTATGCTGATACAATTTGAAAATTGTAGATCAAAAGTACAAAATTTGAAATCTTCGTCTATAGGTGTAATTTGAATAAGTTTAATTAAAGTGTTGTTGTTATTATTATTATTATTATTATTATTATTATTATTATTATTATTATTTGTATGTTTATTTAGACTCCTGTTAATAGCCCGTACTTATTTCGTTGTTTTATCTTTATCATTGAATTTGTTATAGTATGTAAGGTACCTTGATGGGTGTCGTTCAATGTTCAAAGTCACCTTGCTATAAAAAGATGTGCACGTCACACCTTGGATGTGAAATTAACTGAAATTATATTGCAATTTGGCAGATAACAGCAGAAAAAAATTTAAAAATCTCAAAACGTTGCATCTCAAGGTATAAATGAGAATGATTTTGCAATTGTTGAATGTCAATTTTCAAAATTTAGGAATGAGAATATAAGCAAGAAATTTATAGGTAAAGTTGTAATGAGAATATCAGTGAACTGTAATCAGTGTTATTTAA